GGGTGGATTGGGACTAAGGAGGTTGAGAGGAAGGGGTCAGAAAAAGGTTAATACTACCTTTTACAAAGGAATGGCAGATCTGTCTAAAAAGTTTAGAGGTTCTGCTGGCTGTATACGAGGCAGGGGAAGCGGGGATAGGAGCAAGGAGTTTAGAGTTTTTGTTTAGTAAAAGTAAGGAATTTTATTAATTTATTGAGATTCTTGAGAAGAATGATGTACAAAAAATAATTGTGCCAAGCAGCCCATTTGGTAATTGGTAGGGTATCCCTTGCTACTTAAGCCCTCTTGTGCTATGTATTTATTTTCTATGTTACAATAATTTCCCTAGGTGGACCATCCCCAGAAAAGCTGGTTCCTATTTTCTCCTTGTCTTGTCCAGGCATCAGCCGTGCTGTTGGCAGATCTGTTTGCCCAATAAATGGTTGACCTCAATGTTGTTAAAATCTTATTGTTTATGATACGACTCACGACTTGAATCATTAATTGCAAGGGTTTCAATTCAAATTTTATGTCTGAATCATTTTCTGCAAAAATCTTACGGTTTTTATTTGAATTATATGATTTGATTCATAAATCTTATGATTTATACGATTCGTGTGACTCATTGTGATTCAAATAAATTCAGTTAAGAATTGTTCTCTACTTTGTCATTTTGTTTTTGTTTATATTTGGTTTTGTCAAGGGTGACTTGGTTTAAAGACCTTACTGGAAACTGATTTATTTATGTTATTTAAGACTATAAATTGAGTTTATTTTCTATCATGTGTTGGGAAAAGAGCCATTGCATGTGGATTATTTGACTTTCAATTCAAACTCGATTATATTATCTTAGACTTATATTGTATAAATGGTAAGTTCTATTGCTTTAGCCTTTTAGGTACATATATGGTAGATACGACTTAAAATAACACTTTTCTATACATATTTAGTCTTTTAGCATACTATATTTAATTTTTGACTAGTTTGTAAAAAATAGAAATAGTCTTACAATTTACGATATGATTACGATTTTCAGAACATGTTGACCTTAGTTCAGAAGCCAATTCTTTGGCCTCTGTTATAAGATGCTATTATTTCCATGTTCACATTGTATTATTAACCCATCTCACCACTACCTTTGAGTCACCTTCACCTCTACATTTCTGTAGTTATGGGATTTGCCCAATATTAGCCCTTGCAATATGGCTAAAAACTTAGCTTTTGTAGAATCACCATGTCTCATGGATCCAGAGAATAGTGCCACCATAGCTCCATAACAATTCCTGAATACATTACAAATCCCTAAGTTGCTGGAATTCCCCAAACTACAGCCACAAACATTCATTTTGATAGTAATGAGTGGGAGGTGGCTAATGTTTGGTTTTAAGTGTTATAGTCAATGAAGAACCAACAATAATTTTCCAACCTCTAATAATGTAATCAGCAGAAAATTGATAAAGATGGGCAAATATCTTACCGAATGTGCGACCCATACCATAATATTTTGCATTTGTTGCTTCCTTTGATTGACTTTTGTCTTTGTTCCCATTCTTACGAAGTTTGGAATAGGCTTCCCAATTCTTTTGAGTATTCTCCTCTTTTTGTAAAGGTTTGACTAGACCATCAATAAATCATCTGTTGCCTATCCATAAAGAAAATGCAAAACATGCTTCCATTCCAAACATGCTGTGTGCATGTGCAGAGGGATTATTGTAGAGAACACTGATGTGGGCCCCACAGCTGTGGTCCCCACTGTGTTCATAGGACAGTTTGTTATTTCAGTTTTTTATTTGCTTTATTTGTCATGTAAGTACTAAGGGCAGATCTGTTCTTTTCCCTATGTACTGAACATAACCTATAAATACTAAGAGAGTGGCGGCGGCAGATCATTCTGAATCTGTCCCTTCTTTCAACCTTTGTTTCTCCAGTTCTTCTCCTCTCTTTT